ATTATGTCATTTACAACCAGCACGTGTGAGATACATTTTACAGATGGGACGCTTGAGAAATGGGGAGCTGGGTGCTGCCACGTGGCTAGAATGTGGTGGAAAACGCACGGCTCCCACCCAGCGTCGACATAGCCCAGCCCGTCAGCCGCGATGCTAGGCCCGTCCACCTAGAAGCAGGTCCTGCGTGGGCCGCGTTTCTGACAGAGGTGCACAGGTGGTTTCCTTCCCATCACTCGCGTTTCTCAATTGCCATCCACATTCGCAAGCTGACTGAGCCGAATGACATTTTTATGGGAAAGAAGTTAAATTATCAACCATAAAATCAACTTATCACCCGGTGAGTGGAATTAGAAGGCCGAGTGGTTGCCGTTCAATTACGGTGAGTGGCTGTTGAAGGCCCTGTGCCGGGAGGCTCTGGCGAAGTCTGTGACTCTGCTCTTTCTGCCGGACGACAGACAGCCCCCTTTGATCGCTACACTCCACCGTGGGGGTGGGCGCAAAATGTGGGGGCTGCCGTCAAAACTACTGCTGGCACCAAGAAAACACATTGGGTGTTTTACTTAAAATACTTCCCTCCTACTATCCTTAAAATAAAAAGCGAGGCCTGACAGGGGATGGAGGCAAGTGCGGGAGAGGGGTCCTCTATTAAGATCATTTGTGGGAGCCGGGGCAAAGGGTTCGTCTGATCTGTGTCTTTCCAGATGCCCAGGGTCTGGGCTACTAGTCAAAGTCCCGTCTCGGGCTGACACCCAGCTGAGGCCCTGCCTGGGCACAGAGGAAGGAGAGAGGCTGCCTATGGGACAGGCCTTCAAGAGGGCGAGAAAAATCACTCCAAAAACACAAAATTCTGCCTTCCCAGGGTTCCCAGTAACCAAAATAACCGCGTTATAAATTACACCGCCGTCTCTCCCAGCTTGCTCACTGCCGTTTGCTCGTTGGGAACAGATGCTCGGTTCTTGTTTGGGAGCCACCCCTCCCCATTTGAGCCCCTGGACCACACCTACCAGTGTGTTCCATCCTTCTGGACAGTAATGCCTGATTCAGGGGCTGACCAGAAAGGCCAAAGGGATGTGTCCTCCAGGCTTTCGTCACAGTTAATGGGAAAGAGGTACAACTTTTTCCCTCCAGGATGGTAAACAGAGGATGTGAGTCCAGGGAAGCCAGTGGGAAAAAGAATAGGATACAGAGGGAAACAGAGAAGAAACGAAGAGGCACCTGCTCTAAACTTCTTTTGAGCTCCTGGATCCAGCCATGCCTGAATCACATGACCCTTTCAATTATGTCAGCGGATGTATTTTCATTTTTGTGTGCAATTCAATTTGAGTTGAATTCCTGACTTTTGCCACTGAATTCAGGTTGCTTACAACTTCATTTCCCATTAAATTAAAATAGTGTGTGGGTGGAGCAAGAGAGAGCAGGGAGGCCCTCAGCCCTGGGCACCAACACCCCTGGGCTCGGGGCACCCGGGCTCCACCTTGGCGAAGAGGTTTCCTCGTCTGGCGGGTATCACGGAATAATCCTCAAGGCCGTTTCCAGCCCGACATCCATTTCCCAGTCCCTGGTCCCACTCTGGAGGCCACACGGCTGCCGTGGCAGCTGCCACCACAGGAATTCCAGAGACAGGACGGCTTGTCCTGCTTTGTGCAGACGTGGCCTCTTCACGTGTTTCAGCACCAACGAAACCATGTGTCTTATCCTAGCCTGTGGAAGGATGGTGGTAAAGTAAAGCGTGCCTGTGAAATTTGGGGTTTTACTCCTAAATGACTATCGCTTTCATTTCTGTCCCCCTTGACCCTGCTCCTAAGTGGGAATTGGACAGATGTGACCGCCGCCCCTCCAGCGGGCCTGTGATTCCCATGATGTCCTGTGTCCTCTGCATCCAGAAGGAGCGTTTGTTCCTTAGGTGCTTACCACCCAGAGAAAAACCTCTGGGTTGGAGGAGGGGACATGGAAACCGGGGACCCACACCGCTGTTCCTAACCTCTGGGGGGCGCCATGGACCCCCAACTATGGACGAACTTTGTTTCAGCCCCCAGCTGAGTCTAAATCCCCAAGTGCAGGAAGAGTGGTTCACCTGTGGGCAGGGGCTTCTCAGTTCTCAAAGCAGGGTGCTGGAGGGAGCCCCCTGAGATGCTGAGGTTTGACCTGGGGTGTCACATGGTTGGTGGGAACAAAACAAGGCGCCAAAGGGGCTGTGCGGGAATGGAGAGCCCCAGAGTCCTCGGAGAGCAAAGGTCCTACCCC